GCATTGAACAAAGAAATGCTTACAGTGATTGGAATAATCAAAACTGAACTTTTCTAATTTATGTTCAACTCAAACCTAATTTATGTTTATTGAATTAAAAAACATGAAAAAAAATGAAGAGTACAATGTTAAATCACATCAGTTCTCTTCCTGAAAGTTGGTGTGAATACAAGTATTATCTGATCATAATTACACACAAATTGCAATTGAACTAGATAACTTTGGAATTGATACTTCATACTTCATAAGATTCAACCATTTTAAACAACATTTGTACTTTACCAAACAATAAACAATTCACAAAGACTTATAACCTATTTTCATAAATCATAAAAAAGTTAAAAAAGTTAAACAGTAAAGCACTAAAAAATATAAAAACAATAAATAAATCAATAGTGGAGGTAAGAAGCATTTGATCTATCGCTTAATACTTTCACATGGCTAAACTTTCTTGGTCTTCTTTTTCTTGTCCAGTTTCTTAGTGTTCGAATGGGACTCACTCATGTTCTAGTTTTAAGGAATTCGTCAGTTGGGCGAGTTTCGGAGAGGGAACTACACCATGAACTGATGGGAAACCGATGGCTACAGTGAAATAGGTTGTCATCAATGGTGGGAATGAAGAAAGTTGATTCACTTTTATTAGGTTACCTCCTTAATTATAGGCTTAATAATAAATAATTTATTCATTTATCAAACTATCCTTATATATTCAATTAGTTATTAAATTTTAATAATTAGAATGATTTTTTTTTGAAACGGCAAATATATTTAAATTAAACCCACATCAAGATGATGCGTATATGAAAGTACAAAAAAAGAAACAAAGAAATTGCAAACAAAGAAATGGACAAAAGTTCCAAATTCTCCGATCAATATTTTTGTATGGCCCTTTGTGTTTGCACCAAATGAAAGATAATGATTTTACCATTTCTACTGTGTTCGTCGGATCAATAGGAATATTATTGAATACCCCATTGTTCCTCTCGATCCATATGCACCACAAAACTCCACATAGAATTACGTTCAGCAGGCTTCTCCTTTTTTGCATTTGCTCCATCTCGATAGAAATAGTAGCATGTCCCTTACCGAATTAAAGTTATCACACCTAATTTCACACCAGTTAAGGATTCCATTCATTACAATCCTCGCCGATTGACATGTGATCAACATATGATCAATAGTCTCCTCCTCTTGCTTACATGCACCATACACAGTAGAAGGGATAGTAATCCCCCTAGATTGAAGTTTAATTGTTGAATGGATTCTGCCCTGTTTTGCTCTCCATGTGAAACAGAGAATCTTGAATGGGATCATCTTGTTCCAGTCAAAGGGACCATCACACACGATATGGCCCGCAAGTTCAAGCCGTTCCCTACAGAGAATCTATTATCAATCACAAATTCAGATACCCAACATCTCCTATCCGAGTTCCATGATACAATCTCCTTAGGATCAATGTCAACTTTCGCCATCATAGACTTGATTTTTGTTATGTCTTCCACACTGCTTTACTAGTACTACTGGCAAAACAAGACCAATGTCTTCCTTCTAAATTATGGACACAACAAATGACTTTAGCCCACAATTCACTACTATCTGATTTCAGTCGCCACAACCATTTTGCAAATAAAGAGATGTTCAGTGATTGTATCGAGCCTAACCCGATACCACCCACTTTTTGAGGAGCGGTAATCTTCTCCCAACCAATCCAACATATGCTTTTTGTTGTTGTATTCCTTACTCCAGATAAATTTTCTCCTTATTTTTTCAAGAGTATCAATTATTCCCATCGGGACCTTAAAGATAGACATAAAAAAAGTTGGAAAATTACCGAGGACCGCCTTTGCAAGGGTTACTCTCCCACCAAAGCTAAGCGATTTCACTTTCCACGAAGAAAGTTTGGAATGGAACTTTTCAATTATCGGCCTCCATGCTTTTTTCAAATTAATATTTTCTCCCACCGGGATACCAAGATAATTGAACGGGAAAGAAGATGGTTAACATCCAAGAGGGGATAACCAGTTCGAAACTTCCAGAGATAGAGCTCCGACCCCAAACACCTTTGATTTATTAAAGTTCACCTTCAGCCTGGACGTAATATGGAAGCACCTCAATATTCGAGCCAAATTAGAGATATTACGCCTCGACCATTCACCAATGAACAGTGTGTCATCTGCATAAAATAGATGGGACAAACAAATGTTAGAATTTAGGAATTTTATCCCGTCATAAACTCCTTTTCAACTGCCATCTTCATTGCCATATTTAACCCTTCCATTGCAATAATAAAGAGGAAGGGAGAGAGCGGGTCTCCTTGTCTAACCCCTTTCGTCATATAGAATTCAGTTGTTGGGCTCCCATTGATTACTACTGAACCTTTCCCTGATTCCAAACATCCCCTAATCCAATTTCTCCATTTAGTTCCAAATTTCATCTGTTCCATAATTGAGTCTAGGTATGCCCAATTAATAGAATCAAAATCTTTATTAAAATCTGCCTTAAACAAGAGCATCCTCCTACCTTTTGCTTTTGCCCAAGAACATAATTCGTTTACAATCAACGGGCCCTCAAGTATGTTCCTCCCCTCAACATAAGCCGATTGTTCTTCCCCTACAACACTACCGATGACCCGTTTAAGTCTGCAGGCTAACAGTTTTGCAATAATTTTATACAAAGATCTAATCAGACTAATAGGTCTAAAGTCATTGAAGTAGATTGGATCTTTTGTTTTTGCGGCAAGAGAGATAAACGATGAATTGAAACCTTCCGAGATTTTACCACCTGCTTCAAAATGTTTTACAAACCCTAATATATCATCTTTTAGCAGCTCCCAATATTTTTTGAAAAACCTGAACATGAAACCGTCTGGCTTAGGCGATTTGTCCCCACCACACGACCAAATTGCATTCCTTATTTCATCAGTGGTAAACTCTCCATCAAGAAATTTCACATCACATTCGGAGAGTTTACGAAATCCAGGATTGAGAAATAGTGGTCTATTAGTCCAATCTTCATGAAATTTCTTTTCAAAAAACTTGACAGCCTCCTTATTAATCTCCATCGGGTCAGTAGTCCACTTACCATTCGCCATAATCCTGTGAATATGATTCTTTCTGTTTCTATTGTTAACATACGTATGAAAAAAACTCGAATTTTCATCTCCTTCCACTTCCCATTTTAACCTAGCCCTTTGCTTTAGATCCAACGCGATGATTCTGGCATGTTCTGCAATCTTAATACCCCCAATTAATCTTTCTTCTATTTCTGCTACTGATAAGGTTCTAGATTCCGCTGCCATTTCAATTTCAACCATTCTTTTTTTTTTTTGCAAATCATCAATCTTCTTATTTTTCTCCCTCACTGTTTTTGATTCCCATCTCTTGATAGCAATCTTTAGTTGCTTTAATTTATTTAGCAACATCATATCAGGTTTACCATAACCAACAAATTCCGATCATGCATTCCTAATGTTCTCATCAAACCCGTCTTCCATCTTCCATGGATTAAATAGTTTAAAAGGGGGAGGGCCGAAGTTATCACAATGAGCTCTCGGTATAATTGGTGAGTGATCAGAGAGATCTATCTCTAGTGCAAAGCAAGAGGCAAATGGAAATGTTGATAAAAACGTATTGCACACCAAGAATCGATCTAACTTACTAAGTTTAGCACCCCGAGTTTGAAAATAGGTGAATCTTTGGCCACCCATCTTCATATCATTGAGTTCGCTCAAACGGATGAAGTGATTGAAGTCATTAGCATTACTGTTGGATAAGGTGTCTAAGTCCATAACTATTTCTGGTATGTACTTGACCCGACCCGGCATGGTCCATTTAGGTTGCATGGCACCATGCAATTGGATAGACTAAATGAGAGAAATAACACTTGGAGATTATTAATATATTATAAGTTCTAATATATTAATAATATTATTTGATTAGTTTGATCAAGAATTAATTTAGAATTAATTAAGTGATCAAAAGACAACTAATTAAATATATGGGTTGATTATGTAAATCATCCATATCTTGTATAGTGGGTTAAGAGGCTCCATGGATTATCAAATTAGGTTCCACCCATAGAATGCTCCATGGGAGTTACAAACCCATGGGTCATGGAAATGAAGAGTCATGACACATTAGGGTTTACATGGTGTAACCCTAGATGTGTCAACACATAAGAATCCCATTCTCCACCAAAATCGGACACACTAGTGAAACAAGAGGTCTAGGCTGATTTCAAGAAGTGTGTATTCTCTCAAAAGTCTTTCCAAGAGCATTTGGTGTTGTGTGAAGCATTTGAGGCATCACACTTGGGGTGCTAGGCTCATAAGGTTTCAAGGAACATAAGCAACAACAAGGTAAGTTATTCTATCTATCATTCAAGTTAAAAATTGTTCCCCATGTATGCTAGATAGGAATATAGCCTTGGAATTCAACTTTGCATGATAATTAGACAAACATAGATCCAAGGTTTAGGGTTGCATGTACACTTAGGAAGTGTTAGAATGCTCAAAACCCAACAATTACGCGTACAAAAATCGAGTTTATTCTTTCCTCCGGCCGTCGCACCACATTAAAAATCACCCATAAAGATCCTAGTGGCTGATTTAGAGCTTTTCAATGTTAACAATTCTACCCAGACATTTGATTTATCTATCTCTGATTTTGGTCCATAAACATTTACAAAACCTGTTAACCCATTAATTCCAACAAAATTCCCCAAAACTGCGATAAAGTATCTGGATTTGATGGTTTCAATCACCGAAAACCGTTTGTGATCCCATATAGAGACAAGACCTTCAGATCGTCCAATGGTACATACTTGCTCAAATCCATATTCACAGTCCCCCCAACAGTCAGCGACATTTAGAGTCGGGGAAGACTCACCTAATTTTGATTCCTAAATCCCGATCATACATAGTTTGTGTTCATTTCTAAGTCTACAAACCCATTCAATTTTGTATCTCTCTCCCATACCTCGAATGTTTAATGACATTATGTTCATCGGAAAGTGTGGTTCTCGCCTTCTTCACCAACAACGTCTCTAAGCACTGGATTATGTTCATCCATGTCAAATCCCAACATGTTCCCAATTGCCACCGTGTTTCTAATTTCCATCGAGGGGGATGCGGATTCAGTATCAGAATCTGGGAGTGGGACCTGTGAAGGGATTGGATCATAATTTAGGTCAATGTTAGGTTAAGGTGGGAGGATATTCAAGGCAACATCCGAAGTTCCATCCCCATTGCTTACAGTCCTCCTTCTTTTATTGTGGGAACTATCAAAATTTACTTCCGTATGGTTTTCAATTGAGCCAAAGTTATTTGGGAAAGGCCCAAAGATTCCAAAATTTGTTAGGTTGTACGGGATCTCGTTTGATATTCCATTTTTTGACCCCATGTTATTATTTTCCACATTATTATTCTCATTATTATTTATATTTTCAACTCCCCACTGTGATTCCCCATGCACATTCATGCCCATGTGTGACTCTTGGTGATCCCCTTGACTATCGTTTCCGTTTCCCCAATCTTCTTCATTCATTACAACGTTAACCGGTGCCGGCGTCACCACCGGTGACCAGGAATCATCATATGACTTTAGTTCCGAGCTTTCCATACTAGATTCTTTGACTTCATCGACATTCGGGGATATAAACTCCCCGTCCTCTAAACTGACACCGTTATCATCAAAAGGGATCGTATCAGATATATGTTCCTCCTCTTCATCTTCATCCATATCCTCGTCTCCCTCATCATCTGGTATGAAATTCTCCATCGTGGATTTGAACGGGACCCAATCAAAATCAAACTCTAAAATTCTAATCTTTGTTATTTTTCCTTTAATCTCCACTAACAATTCTTTGGATATATGTGTAGGATCATCGGTTAGGACCCCCACTTTGCCAAAAGATAGGTTCACAGCAGATAAATTCACTTCAAACGAAACAATTACCCTACCCACAGACTCCGCTATTAATGTGAAGTTTTCTTCTGACCACAATTCTGGAAGGAGGCACGAAATCTTTATCCAAGCAATTCTATCACAGTTGATTGTAGCTACGTCACCACTATCGAATTTGCAGAACCATTCCATCTATCCCTTCATGAAAGCATCTCTACTTTCTACATTCATGAACCGAACCCCAATTTGGAGTCCTCAAAAGTATTTTATATCACAATAAGATCCATCATTATTCTTGAAAGAATAATGGGCTTTTTCTAAATGATCAAAACTATGGAGTTCACCAATCAAGGGGTGTTTGGCTTGGCTTTTCAGGGAGCAAAAGTTCTTTTTGGAAAAGTAACAAAAAGTCAGGTTTTCCTGACTTTTCCAAAAATTTCATTTTTACTTGTATCCAAATCCAAAAGTAGCTTCTAAAATGCATTTGCGAAACATCTTTTGCTTTCTATCTTTTCCTAAAAGGACTTTTGGCTTCTAAAAAGCTAAGCCAAACACCCTCCAAAGTATGAGTACATTTCATCCATCCCCGAAGAGGAGAGTCATCAGAAAGCTTAATAGGATCACATTTCATCATAAGAGGGGGAGGAGGGATATTCCAGAACTTACTTCCACTCACCGCAACTTCCGCAAAAGTTCTTTTGTCTTTGATTGTAAACTTTGTCGCCTGAGGTAAACGATTCAGGTGCCGATTAGAGCCTCCCACTTGTTTCCTTTCATACCTTGCAATATTAACATATAGTGCCTTTTTGAATCTCACGAACGCAAATGACTTCCTATTTACAGCCTTCTTCGTCGCCATCTAGACATCAACGACTTCACCATATTTAGAAACATTTTCCTTTAGGGCATCCTTCCTAACCTCCTGTGGCAGATTTGAAATAAACATCGACATGACTCCGGCACGATTCCATCTTGGATACTCTCCAGACTTCGATAATTGCTTCCATCTTCTTCTCCTTGCATGCGTCCATTCACCTTCCATGATCGTCAATATATGTCGAACCCCTTAATGGATAATTAGAATGATTGATCAACATTAATCCTTACATCCACAATAGATAGTTAGAATAAATGAACCTAGCTCTCTTTCTTTCTCTTTTTCTTTCTCTCTCTCTCTCTCTCTCTCTCTCTCTATATATATATATATATATATATATATATATATATATATACACTTTGTTTTTACCATGTTTCTGTAACTTTTTGTTACGTTTAAGAAAATGGAATTTTTTTTCTCAAACTTTAAGATTTGTTTATTGGATTTTTGATGTAATTTTGAAATATCGAAATACAGTTTGAAATAGATTTAATTTTCTATTAAAGATATAAATTTATATGATATAAAGTTATAGGATAATGACTTAAAATGATAATGTATTTTTTGATTTGTATACATATGATCATTAAATTTCTTTTCGTCCACATTTACCCATTCAACTTGTTAAACTGTACACATTCAGGCCTTATGACCAACTACTCCAGATAAGCTGAAAAAATGACTTAATAAGGTAACATATTTTTCACTTTGCACACATATAGTCCTTAATAATTTTATGCATATTTAGTTGTTAATATGTTTTTTTTGTTGTAAAATAAGTTTTTGTTGTTTTTGTACACATTTAGTACTTAAGACTGATTTCTTTAGGTTTTTCTTACGGCATCCTATGTTGGACAATCATTAATGAGGTTGTTTTGGGATGTTGATAGTTATGTATATGGCGGCCTCAACTGCTTGGTTGCCTAGGTCTTGTGGTTTAGTTTAGGTCTTGTGTTCTGAACGTCGTAACTTCTTCATACAATCTCAGATTTTAACGATCTTTATATACACACATTAGTATTTGAGTGTACTACAACTTTCATTAAGATTATTCCTGTTAAAAAGTAATATATTTTTACTTAGCATTTTATATAAAAAACAATTATACATTCATTCGTAAAAAATGCATGGATATAAAGACCGTAAGTAAAAATATATTACTTTTTAAAGGAGTAATCTAAACGAAAGCTAAAGTAGACTCAAATACAAACGCGTGGATAGATTGTTAAAATCTGAGATTGTATGAAAAAATTACGACGTTCAGAATACAAGACCTAAGTCAAACCACGATACCTAAGCAACCAATCATTCGCCATGAATATAAGCATCAACAACCTCAAACACCTAATTAATGATTGTCCTACATACGATGCTATGAGAAAACCCAAAAAAATCAGTCTTAAGTACTGAATTTGTAAAAGAACAAGGACTTATTTTGTAACAAAAAATATATTAAGGACTAAATATGCACAAAAATATTAAGAACGAAATATGTACAAAGTGAGAAATATATTACCCTATTATGTCATTTTTCTCGGCTTACTTGGAGTTGTTGATCATAAGTACTGAATGTGTACAGTTTAACAAGTTAAATGAGTAAATATCGACGAAAAACTTAGTAACCAAATGTGTACAAATAAAAAAATATATTACCCATTTAAGTCATTTTCTCTAAAGTTATATTAAATATAAGTTTAGTCTATTTTAGATTGAATTTGTAAAAGAACAACAATGATTTATTTTGCAATAAAAAATATATTAAGGACTAAATATGCACAAAAATATTAAGAACGAAATATATATATATATATATATATATATATATATATATATATATATATATATATATATATATATATATATATATATATATATAAAGTGAGAAATATATTACCATATTACGTCATTTTTCTTGGCTTACTTGGAGTAGTTGCTCATAAGTATTGAATGTGTACAGTTTAACAAGTTAAATGAGTAGATATAGACGAAAAAACTTAGTGACCAAATATGTACAAATTAAAAAATATATTACCCTTTTAAGTCATTTTCTCTAAAGTTATTTTATATATAAGTTTAATCTATTTTAGACTGAATTTGTAAAAGAACAACAATGACTTATTTTGCAACAAAAAAATATATTAAGGACTAAATATGCACAAAAATATTAAGAACGAAATATTACAAAGTAAGAAATATATTACCATATTACGTCATTTTTCTCAGCTTACTTGGAGTAGTTGGTCATAAGTATTGAATGTGTACAGTTTAACAAGTTAAATGAGTAAATATAAACGAAAAAACTTAGTGACCAAATGTATAGAAATTAAAAAAAGATATTACCCTTTTAAGTCATTTTTTCTAAAGTTATTTTAAATATAAGTTTAATCTATTTTAGACAGTGGTATTTTATAAAGAACAAATTACACGAATGGTCCTTCAGGTTTTGTCTTTTTCCCTAAAATAGTCCTTACGAAACATTTTTCCCTCAGATGGTACCTACGGAGCAAACCTTGCACACAAAAGGCCCCTATGACTAACTTTACTAACAGATTCTGTTAAGTTTTATGAAATGACAAAAATACCCTTTGTTTTATGCACATAAATGGCCCTCTTTCTCTCTCTCTCTCTCTCTCTCTCATATATGGGTCTTTTACATCTTCAACTCCATTCCTTTGTTGTTTCATTCCTTCCCCATCGGCGACACCTAGGAACACCGGCAACCACAGCTCCGCCAGCACCCCCGTGCCCTCTGCTACTATTCGTGATGCTACTATCAACTGACGGGATGAGAAGCTCACCAGAGGAAGCAACTACCACTCTCGTTCCCCTCTCATCTCCTTCTGGTTTTGCCGGAAAGCACTGATCTGATAGATGACTTCTTCTTATTGAACTTTCTCTTCCGTTGCACATGTGAGACTTCATATCCTCTACCAATATCAGATGGTGGTAAACGATGGTTTGAGGATGACGAAGGCAGAACCGATCAAGATTCCAATTAGGGTAAAGAGGAGATGCTGTTCTTTGAGGATGTAATTGATGAATCTTAGGAGATATCGATGAGGGATTTAGGTGAGCAAGGTGGGGTTTGACTAGTCGACATTTCTTCATCTCTCCTTTGGTTTGCATTTGATTGTTTATGAAACTGCTTCATGTTGTTCATCGTGATTGAATCTTCCATTCAAAATTATGCTTTTATTGGTACAGGGGTTAATGGGTTATGAGCAAGTGAAGAGCATGAGAATGAAAATGGGTGTAGAAACGATGTTTATGCTTTCAGGTGTTCTTTCAAGTTTGTAAAATGCTATAGGGAAACATGTTTGATCTTATTGCCCACCAAGTGTTTGATCTTTTGTCTGAATGATCTTTCCATGGTGCAAAGTTCTTAGCTACACCTAAAACACAGTTTGCCCACAAATTTCTAAATTTGGCTTTTAAATTTTTGAAGCAATTGTGAAAACCCCTAAATCATAACCTAGAAGAGAGAGAGAGAGAACAAAGGGTATTTTTTAGAGAGAGAGAGAGAGGACCATTTATGTGCATAAAACAAAGGGTATTTTTATCATTTCATAAAACTTAATAGAATTTGTTAGCAAAGTTAGTCACAGGAGTCTTTTGCGTGCAAGATTTGCTCCGTAGGTACTATTTAAGGGAAAAAGGTTTCGTAAAAACTACTTTAAAGAAAAAGACAAAACCTTAAGGACTATTCAGTATAATTTATTCTTTTTATAAATAACTGACTCGCTCTAACTTTCTTACCATGAAATTCATATAAACCTAAATTTAAAATTTAAAATATATCTTATCATATTTAAAAAAGTATAAAATATATAAAATAAAGTCACAAAGGATGAGGTTGATGATGTGTAGTTATCAACCTATCAAAGTCAGTCGGAGAAGAAGTGATATATATATATATATATATATATATATATATATATATATATATATATATATATATATATATAAAAGCATCTTCTCCAAAACACTAAAGCCGCCGCCCCTTCCATATAAACGTCCCCTCCCCCTAATCGACACCTCCAAATCAAAAGGTTGCCACCGTACTCGCCTCCTCATCTCTCCGGCAACGGCGTTCATCACCGTCATCTCAATCCCCTCCCTGCTCCTCGCCGACCTTTCTCACCGCCGTACCTCCAGTGAAGCGAGAGGTTCAGTTCGTTTCCCATCCCCATATCATATCAGGTTCGATTTCTCATCACCATATCATATCTATAGTCGCTTGATAGAGTATATGATGAGTTGCTATCAGTTTCTTATTCTTTCTACTGATCTATAAATTACCATTTGTAGTGATGGATTTCTGTTTACTGTTATATATCGATTTTCAATTAATCCCCTTTGTAATCTTTTATATTTTATTAACAGAAACACTTTTATTCATATAAATGATAAACCTTTTGGTAATCTTTTATACACCAACTGATATACAAAGAATAAGCATGAAGCAATTACAACTGCTAATTACTAAATATTATTCCGACGGTTTTGTTTTCTGTTTTTTCCAGATATTTTTTTAAGTTATTCGGATGAATTTGCGGTTTTTGTTTGGTTTCAAGTCAAGTTAAAATGACCATTTAGTCCTTGGAGAATTTATTTAGACTACCGCTGTCATTGGGGGATGTATATGAGCCGCTCGTTACTTTTATTTAAGAAAAAAAGAAAATTGGATAAATCTTTATCACCAAGCCACCCCCACAAGATGTAACCTTTTGTGTTGGTTTCGATGATATGATGTGTATTGTTTTTTTCCTAAATATTTAATTAAATACTTAAAAGTATTAAAGTTCTTTTTTTTTTTAATCTAATATTATTTTTGTAAACAAGAAATAAAAATACTATACTTTGTAATTTTTTTAATAAATAAAATATAATGTTAAGATACATTATATTTAAGTTAAAATTTTCAATTTTAATCTCTTTTAATTTTATATTTGTTATCATTGTATTTTGTATCTAATTTCGTTTGAAATTTTATAAAATTATTTATAAAAAAATCATATAGTTTTTAATACTTTTAATAATTCTTTTATAACTAAAAATATTTTTATTAAATAAAAAAATTTGCATCGCTTGGTAATAGATGTCGAAAATTAGATTAAGTTTGATAAAAGAGATGAATTAGTTTTTGGGATAATGATTTAAAAGGGTAATATATTTTTCGATATGTCTGCATTTGGTACTTGATTTTTCTGTCCACATTTACCCCCTTCAACTAGGTAAACTGTAAACATTCAGTCCTTATGATCGATTACTCCAGGTTAACCGTGAAAAATGATTTTATAGGGTAATATATTTATCATTTTGTTCACATTTAATCATTAATATTTTTGTACACATTTAGTTCTTAATATATTTTTGTTTCAAAATAAATTTTTTTTGTTTATGTACACATTCAGTAGTTATGAATATTTTCTTCAGGATTTTCTCACGACATCTTACGTGAGACAAAAAAAAAATTCATTTTTAAATAAGGCAAAACTCCTTATTTATAAATCCATTATTAAGAAAAAACGTTTATTTCAAAATACATTTATCGAAAATCAAAATAATATAAGAAACACAGATTCCTCAATATTGTTGATGAGTGTGTACAATCATGCATTCTCCTTCCCACGACCAACGATATAACCTGAAAACATAAACAATTGAGTAAGCATAATGTTTAGTGACTTTTCCCAAAAATACCCGATAGAGCAAACGTATTATCATGAATAAGAGACTCACACTCATTAGATTGGAATACCTTGGCCTAATCAATCATTGGAATTGAATGCCAACAACAAGTCCAGTTAGTCATCGGACTGGAATATCCAGGGTTTGTTGACATGCCGCCTTAACCCAACCGCTCTTCTCGAGTCTCCGTGCCTATAGCTTATAGCCGGTCCGCACCAGGTATCTTGGCCTATAACATATAGCAGGACCACCTCAACCTATCCCACCACCATATGACTATCTCACGTAAAATGTCTTGAAAAAAACCTAAAGAAATCATTCATAAGTATTGAATGAATACAAAAATAAAAATGATTTATTTTACAACAAAAAAAATGTTTGATGATTAAATGTGTATAAAAATATTAAGGACTAAATGTGTACAAAGTGAGAAATATATTACCATATTAAGTCATTTTTACCGGCTAACTTAGAGTAGCCGGTCATAAGGACTAAATGTGTACAGTTTAACAAGTTTATGGGGTAAATGCAGATGAAAAAAAACTCAATAACTAAATATGTACAAATCGAAAAATATATTACCCTTCTAATTCATTATCCCTTATCTTTTAAAAAAAGAAATATTGAATTAAAAGTTGTTGATAAAGATAAGGTTAATTTTTTTAAAGGAACTCTATGTGTTTGGAATCTAGATGTGTGGTGTATGGTGTCATCATGACGGTTTACTTTTGTTATATTAATTGAATATCCCAAGAAAATATCTCAAAAAAAAAAAAAAAAATAGTAAACCAAAAAGAAGAATTTGATATCAAGGATTCTGCTATATGAATAGAACCTCAAAAGAGATCAATATCTCGTTTTTTTGTTAGATGTAGCTGCTTAATGTTTTGAAATACACATAAGGCATATTTGTAATGCACTTTTATGCCCTTGAGACATTATGTCAATATGAATGTGGGGTATGGTGTTCAAAATTGGGTATCCAAAATTTTTGAATAGATATTGTTATCCGGATCTATGCAAAAATTTATTTTATAGATTCGGTTATTCGAAAGTATTGTATTTTTTTGGTCCATAAAAATGCCAAAAAAAATCGGATATCTATATCCAACATCCGAAATTTTTGAATATCCGGAATTTTCAAATCTTTGAAATATAGTAGCCAAAATATAGTCATTTCATGTCTGATCGTGATGAAAAGAAATACCACATGACAACAAGTGAAAGAAAAAAGATATAGGGAGGAAAATTGCACATTAGACTAAACAACACGGACGATTTATATAATTTGCTCAATATTTGCTTCCAAACAAATACAAGTTCTATAAATTTTTTATGTCTACTTTCTCATCTTCAATTTGATTGCTTTTGTAATGTGATGGTATATGATTTTGTAATGTACTAATGTATTGGTTATTTCCAAACAAACCATTTAATATGATGTTTTTGTAAAATGACAGCTACCACGTTCACTCCACAAATCAAAAATGGCAGAGTACCTCCCACCTGAACTCATTATCAAAATTCTTTCAATGTTACCCTCAAAATCCCTTATCCGTTTTCGATCAGTTTGCAAATCATGGCATTCTCTCATTTCTTCCCCCGAATTCAGCCCAACTCATCTGCACAATTTCAATAAATTCAACTCTCGCAATCTTGTTCGATGTTGTCTATGGACAGAGAAAAAGGAAGTATACACAGTCCATCACGATGATCAACATCTTACTCTTGATGCCCCCATTGATTTCCCCTTCAATCTTCTTCGTGATGAATATGGAACCATCTTTTTTACACTCATCGCGTGTTGCAAAGGCGTTGTTTGCCTCTATAATGAAAGATCCCCAAAAAATGAAATCCTACTTTGGAATCCTTCAATTAGAAGGAAAGTAACCCTAACTCCTCGTTCATATAGGTCGGAACTTACTCTCGTTTTTGGGTTTGGGTATTGTGCGAATTCTAATGATTATAAGGTTGTGAGATTCGCATATGATCGTAGCAACTTGATCGATAGACCTGAGGTAACTGATGATTCAACATATATAATATTACAAGGAAATTAAGTAATCTAACCACAATTTAATATGTATTTGAAAAAATAACCAAAAAAATTGTTTTCTAGCAAAACTAATCACTTGGTCTAGCATGCCATTCTAGGCCAAGAAAAAAACACTTTTTTTTTGATAAAAAAAGTACATTTTGGACTAATGGAATTTCGAACTAAAATTTCAAATTTTGGAAAAAAAATCCCGGAATTTAAAAAATAAATCTAAAATCGAATGAACAATTTTTGAAATTTCGAGAAAAAAAATTGTTTTTTACTTAAATCTAACAAAAAGGTAAACAAACATAGTAAAAATAACTATACAAAATATCAGTGTATAATATTATACATTTTATTAAAAAACAGTGACATTAAACACTTCGAAATAAATATTTTGGTTATGTAAAGAGATTTTTTTAAAAAACCTTCGGAATATAAACAATAGTCTAGGAGGATATATTTCGAAAAAAGTGGTTATTTTTCAAAAAAAAAATAATGATTAGATTACTCAATTTCCCAATATTATATGTATTAATCGATAGATATATCTTGAACTAATTTTTACCACTTTTTTTTATATGCCTATTTAAGGTTGAGATTTACTCTGTGAAAACCGCGATATGGAAACCGATCGGGTTCCCTCAAGACTCTATGTGCTACCATATCCTTAGCGACTGCTCACAAGTCTTTTTCAATGGATCTATTCATTGGTTAGCAACCGATTTAGGAGTTTCACATTGCTCAATCCTAACAATGGACTTGAGTACAAATCTTTTTGGGGAAATCCAATTGCCTGAGTATCTAGTGAACTACTCGTCAATGGGAGTGACTTTAACGGTTGTTGGAGATTCTTTAGGTGTGATTTATTCAAACCGTTGTACAGTTGTGGGTTCAAGCACTTATAAGATATGGGTTATGAAGGAGTACAAGAAACCGGCTTCATGGACATTGATATATGATGTCCATTATCCGGATACGGATTTAGGGAGACCTTTGAAATTAAGACATAATGGGGATTTGGTAACTGAATCACGTCGATGCAATTTATCGATTTATAATCGTGAGGCGAGGTGTTATACGGTTGATGGGTGTTGTAGCAAAGGTGTTAAATTGTGGTCGATTTCTATAGACAAATACGAAGAGAGCCTGGCATTGTTGGATGCAAGTGATGGTAATAATGAAGAGTGATTGGCAAGGTATGAAGTATTGTATATTTTATGTGTGTTTGTGTATATGGTTATTGTATTGTAATGATTTGGCAGTAAACATGGTTTGTTTGTGTAAGAAATTTAAGTCAGTTGGCTTGTGTTTGAATGTGGCTTGGCTTTGTACACATCCATTTCCTTATTCATCCTCCTCATTCCCAAACGTTTCCATTGCAAAAACACAAAAACATAATGACTTTTATTCTCATATTTGTCACTCAACAAATCATTATTTTTCAAAACAGGGATTAGGTTATTTTTATTCACTAAACTTTTCTGGATGTTTTATTTTGGTTTTTATATTTTGTTTAAGCTATCATTAATCATTGAACTTGCTTATTTGGTTCATTTTTATATTTTGTTTAAGCTATCATTAGTCATTGAACTTGCTTATTTGGTTCATTTTGGTCACTATAACTGGGAATACCAGGTGTATAATATCAAACGATGTGATCAATGTTATAATTAGTCATTGAACTTTTATGGGTTTTTTATTTTAATCATTATACTTTGTTTAAGCTATCATTAGTCATTGAATTTGTTTATATTTTTCATTTAGTCACTTATTTTTTTTTATTATTATCATTAGAGCTGGCAAAAATTGACTCAACCAACCCACCCAACCCAAAAATAGCAGGTTGGGTTAAGATTTTCAACCTATTTATGTTAAATGGGTCAACTCGTCTAACCCATTTAATTAAATATAGATTGGGCCGGGTAAAAATTATCAACTCGTTTTCAACCCATCAACCTATTTAATTTTAATATATATTAAATTTAGTAATTATTTGAATATTATCATGTATTAATCTAAGTATTAGTTTATAAAACACAATGTTTGTATTATTATTATTTATGTTTTAAAAAATGGAATCTTAATTCATACCTTTTATATTGGCACCGATAACACTAGCCACTCTGAAAAATCACTTAGAAATTACATATCTTTAATTGTATTTGAACAATTTCTTTGTATATGTGAATTGTGATTGTGATTTTGTCATACTTTGAAGTTTTATTAAAGTCTATAACTAATTTAAATTAGGCCTGACAATTGGGTTGGGTTCGGGTTGATGGGTCACGGCTTGGCGGGTTGACGGGTCAAAAAACATAAACTCAACCCAACCCTTATAATATATGAGTTGACGTTGATGGTTCACGGGTTGGTGGGTTAGAAACCTCAACCCAACCCAACCCATATAACCCATTTAAGTATATGCGTTCACGGGTTCACAAGTTAATGGGTCAAACCCAACCCATATAACTTGTTTAATAAATAAGCAATACATTTTTAAAAAATGAGGTTTTTTTCAACATAAATTCATTAAATGGTTAAAGTATTTAACATAAAAAAAAAAGTTTCAACATAAATTCATAAAGTTAATAACATCCAAATAAAAAAAAAAAATGAAACATTCATAGAAAGTGGATGTGCTCTTCGTTCATGACTCGTGAAAATAACGACATGTATTTTTTCTTTTTTTGATTAACGGACCTAAAACGCAGATTAGTCACATATAAATATGGAAGGAATACAACGATACGGAATCTTACGAATTTGAATGGAAGTCAAATTTCATTAATAATTAAATATACCATTTTATAAATGTAATATATATATATATAATATATATATATATATATATATATATATATATATATATATATATATACATACGGGTTAACGGGTTGGCCCGCGAACCCAAACAAATACGCCAACCCAACCCATGAAATAAACGGGTTAGTGGGTTGGCGGGTTGACGGGTCGATAATCTCAACCCAAACTCGTCTATTTTCGGGTTGGGTCAGTGTCAGGTTACGGGTTGGGTCGAGAGTTGTCACTCCTAATTTAAGTGGTGTAATATTTAGTTAATTTATCTATTTATTTTTATTTTAAATGGGTCAACCTAAATTTAACCAATTTATTTAATAGGTTAGGTTGATAATTACATAAACGGCTCAACCCGGGGACAACCCATTTATCTGAAATGTTGGGTTGGATTGAAAATATCAACCCATTTAAATAAACAGGTTGGGTTGGGTTGAAATTTTCAACCTAATTAATAAATTTGTTGAACCCTACCCCAATCCAGGTTGACCCATTGCCACCTCTAATTATCATTTATAAAAAAAATATAAAAAAAACTACTATTTTTTTCCTTTTCTCCACAACTAAACTTGTTACATCAAATTCTCTTTAAAACAAACTTGTTACATCAATTATTTAAAGTAAATTATATGAATAATCCTTATGAGTCAACGTAGGATGTATATTGAGTTTTTAACCTTTTTTACTCGAACACTCCTAATAACTTAAAAAATTGATTTTGCCATTATTGATCCCATCACTCTTGTCACTAGTAAAAACACACCAAATCATCATTGATAACCAGTTTTACGATACGTGACCCCGTGGAAAGTCTCCGTATCAAATGGCCCAAAGCAGAAAATATTTTGGTACATATGAATTAATTGAAAACACTAACAAGTCTACTTATTCTTCTAAAACCCCAAATCAAGGGACTCGATCATCCTTCAATGCACAAAGGTTATGTTTTGTATGAAGCAATTGAAAACATTAAACTTGCATGCTCATGATCACAATGATTATTCATATAATTTACTCTGAAATAATTGATATAACAAGTTTAGTTGTAGATAAATAGAAAAAAAAATGTAGTTTTCTTACGATAATAAAAAATAGAGTGGCTAAAATGAAAAAAAAGGTTAGTGAGCAATTGTAGCTTAAACAAAGTATAATTACTAAAATAAATCAATAAGAAAAGTTCAATGATTAATTATAATCTTGACAATGTCATACACTGGCTATCATCGGTTAGAGTGACCAAAATGACAAAAAATAAACAAGTTCAATGACTAATGGTAGCTTAAACGAAGTATAATTACCAAAATAAAACACTTAGAAAAGTTCAATGACTAAAAATGACCTAAACCCTGAAAAATATGGTCCTCATGTGCGTCATAATTGGCATCACCTTTACCTTGAGCATCATTTTTATCAATCTGGTCCTCAAGTGGAGTATCATTGATATCCACTTTAGTACCGCCACCTTTCCTTTGATCATTATCGTCATCATCATTTAGAAAATAATTTCCATAATCTTCACCATCATCTTCATAATCATTTACTTATGTGCCTTCCGCTTCCTTATTATTATATTGACTAAAAGCATGTGTCAACATTAGTTGTTCAGAATTTTGTGAATCATAACCGAAATTTAAATTTTCTATACTAAAATCTTCAACTAACAACACTAATTTCCAATATTTCAAATTTTGACTTTCGAGAAACTTTAACACTCCATCTATTTTTTACAAAAGCACTTTTCTCAAATTCTCAAATTTGTGATATATATCAGAATTTTAGTTTCATATTCCTAAATAAGAAAAAGATACTTTAAAATGAATACTTAATCTTAAAAATGATGTATGAATACACTAATGAAATCATAAATGAATACACTTGAAAATCACCTCTATATAACTAACATTGTGAACATCAAATTATTCTTCATCCTCACCAAATAATTGCTCATCACGGTTAGATTCCTCCTCATAGCCATCAGATTCTTCCTCATTATACTTAGATTCTTATCCTTCTTCTTTAACATATGATTCATTAATCTATCAAAAACCATATCCTCCTTCTTCTTTTAAAACATCCTCAAGAAACTTAATATTTTTTGACGTCCAATAAAAATCTATTGGGAGTTTACGTGTGACAAGCAAAGGATCAAAATTAAAACTATTCACATACAACAACTACAAAAAACATATGTCATACAAGTTAACTTTTTTAAAACATATACTTATACAGTCTAATATAGAATTAATCATAAATAGATGTGTAATCGCATATGATTAATTAAATATTACATTGGATAATCATATATGATTATTCATATTTATTTATACAATGTAATATATCAATAATCATATATTAGTTTGTATAATCATATATGATTATAAAGTCTGCTATATGATCAATAATAAAAACAAAACATATATATTAAAACTGAAAAAAATATTTAATATTAAAAACCTGTTCACATACCATCAGATATGCTAATGGTCTATAAACAAGATGATTCTTTCTCTGGATTATAAACCTCATCGTTCTTATCAAAAAAACGACAATAAAGTCGCACCAATCAATCAAAGTTAAATATTTATCTCTTCTAATTACATACAATGGATTCAAATTACATTTTCCCACGCTTGTAGACTCACGGAATGTATTAGTAAATAGAACCAAACAAAATTAATTTATAATCTGCAGCACAAGTCAGAACAAGTTCATTCTTTAGTTGCTTCAAGTTAATTTATCAATATTTCCATATTATTTCTTCAACTCAAACATACAACTCTCTTCATCATATTCTAAAATATAATCCAAACTTGAAAGTAATGTACCACCAAATGGTAATCATAACATCTCAAGATCAAACTTGCAATTAACTCTCACTAGACAATTCTCAAACTCCACCTTCAAACTTTCAAAATTAAAATGATCATGAACATCATAATCAATCTTCAATGGTACATCAATCATCTTCATCCGTAGCAAACTCCCAAATCCCATAGCCATAACACACACCTTTTGTTCTCTACTTAAACCCTAAATAACAGCCAACATTGACCCGTCTGAGCATTTGTTCTTCAATGAAGGAAATTCTTTTATCATAACAACTTTTTTCTTTCTTCACGACTTTAGCTTCTCTCTTAAAATTAGAAGTATCTTCATCAGATAGCTCAAGTGTCTTACTTGCAGTTTTAACCTTCTGCAAAACTAACTTCTTTCCCCAAACTGTCACTTCCACTTTTGGTTGTTCAATATTTGCTTTTATAGATTTCTTTGATCGGGTTTCAACTGCATCTTTAGCCTTTACTTTTTTTGAAGATGATCTTGTCTGCCTTGAGCTTTCTATTAATACCTTCTTTGTAATATTATTTTTTTCAACCACAAATATTTTTGAAGACGATCTTGTGTGTCTTGACCTTTCTATTGATACCTTCTTTGTAATATCATTTTTTCAACTACAATCATTTTTACACACATTGTGTTAGTAAAAATAATCACTTATGATTAAAAGACATACCCTTATCATTTTTAATCTTGGACTTTT